GACGACAACGAAGACCTGCTCTGTTCAGAAAAAGAACAGGAAGGAACCACGTCATACTCTAAGGTTGTGTAAACGTAATGGGAGGGGAGGAATTTATGTTTTGGCACAGAGAAAAGCAAATGAAAAATTTAGATGGGATGTAAAAGAAACTTCCCAAAAGTCCCTGCAGTTGGTAACTTTCCCCCCACTGGAAGCACCGAGAACCACACTTCCTGTGACAGGGTGTTTGGGTTTTTGGTTGGTTTCTCATTGTAACGGACCATTTCCAGTACAGCCAGTCCTAATGTGGTTTACTAAGGGCCTTTAAAGTGGGGGTGACTTATGCATTTGTCTGTCGCGCCTCTCCTTGGACCACCCCCTGTGCCCCCAGGTCTCTCCCCGCAAGCATTCTACCTGATGTCGCAGCTTCATCTCAAACTTGGATGATGATGCTCCGACTCTGACCTTCCCAAGTCCATGGACCCCGTCATCGTTTCCTCGGCCCCATAGATTTATATCCCTCAGTTCCCCTTGTTCTCTCACCTGCTTTTCTCTCTGCTCTTGCCCCCATCCCTCTATATGGCAACTCTGCCTGGGTTTTCGAGTCTACCTAAGTGTCGTTGACTCTGGCTACTAACTTTTTATTTTCCAACTCTGTTCTTTTCAGCCATAATCTATTGTCGGAAAGCCATTATTCTCTCCAGGATGGGCCCTCGGATCTGCCCAGGTCCTGGGTTTCGTATTTTACCAGTGTTAACGAGCCCAGTGCCAACTCTTAGGCATGGAAGATGGCTTACCCAATAACTGACTTCTGATCCTCCCCCCTCCCCTCTCCTGCTTCCTTTCCAGCGATTCGAATCCCACATATCCTTCCAGGCTCAACTTGGAGATTCTCCTTGTATACTATTTCTTTGCTAAGGCCCACCTCTAAATCCACTACAATAGTCAATACCGAGTGAGCTTAAAAAATGGGGCATGCCAACGAAAGCAAGCAGAGCTACGACAGGCACTGAGCTTAAGGGACACATATTTTAGGAGTCTGGGTTTCCTTAGTGTAAACAGCGCTGGTGTGGTTTGCACTGCCTTCCCCTCATGGGGTCTATACAGATAATACCTTCTCCAAATTTCTGCCTTTTTTTTTTTTTTGGTTATGTCTGATCAGCGCCAATGGCACACTTAGAACGGAAGGCTTCACCTTCCCCTTGTTACGCGGGGCCCGTGCAATCTTGGGATAGGTCTCATCTTGGTGTGGCGCTGCTGGTTTCCCAGAAATCACACCTGTGGGCATCAGGGAGCTTGCCTGGCACCGTCAGGTTGCATGTGAGAGCCTGTCTCTCTCTCAGGACACTTGTCACACGTGATGCCAATTCCCACCAGAGGAAGAAAAGAACATCAGCCAGGACTCCAGAAATGTCGAAAGCTCCCCTACTTTCTCTCTCCTGATAAAGATCCCAGGTGCTTATTTACAGGACCGGGGCTGTTATGGCGAAAAGAGGACAGTGGCAAAGAAGGATGCCGCCATGGAGATGTTTAGCCCACATAAACGTGGGGGGCAGTGCCCTCTTTGAGCTCGTCTTGAGCCATCACACTCAAGTCCCCACGATACAGCAGACGTTGTGAGGTCCACAGTGTCTTTGAGGATTCAGCCGACCAGGCTGGTGGCCGTCTGGCAACCCGGCTGGCCACTGCTAGGAAGACAGAAGCAGGTCCTATTACGGCAAACACTTGTTACCATTTTGTAGATATCATCTTTATTGCTAATTTTTTTTCTTCTTCGTTTTATTTTCATAATTATTTGGGATTTTTTTTTTTTTTTTACATTTCTGCTTATCCTCCTTACTGCCTAAAGCTCAAGGACCTGCACATAGTATTTATTTCTATATTAATTAACTAATTAAAACACCACACACCTCCTTGGAAAGTACATTCACTTAAGAGATGCGAATCTGATCATCTGACAAACGTAGAACTTTCAAATCTTCTTCTTAGTATCCTAGACACACCTCTGATACAATCAGCAGAGATTATAAGGGAGATAATCTTGGACGTGGTATTTTATAAATTTCAAGGTGTATCATCTGGGTATTAAGGGGATCATTTAATTCTTTTGGAATGCCAAGCATAGTGCGAAAATAAAAGAAGAGCTCCTTTTATTTGGAAAAAAATTGTACGTGGGGTAATTGTCTTTTCTATGCACAGATAACTAATAATTATGGGCCTCTGCACAGGGAAGATCGCTAGAGAGAATGGATCCACTATAGCATGAACCCATTCTAGTTACTTCTACGTGACAGACAATAATACCATTTGCTGATAGAGACCTGCCCCACTTTAAGAACAAGAAAAGATTTGACTTTTATAATACAATCTGAGGGGGGGGGGCTGTCTCTGGAAACTTTGACCCTATAAACAGTCTGATATCAACATTTTTTTTTTTATTTACAAATTGAAATGTCTGTATGATATCAACATTTTAATCAGAAATATACCCATCCTGACACACTCATCATTAACTCTTTGATCAATTTTTTCATTATAGCTTTGCCAATTATAATATTTTGCTTTATTTTTTATTGGGATAAGTTATTTTTGTGTTTACACTTCTAAGAAGATTTAATTCATTGATATGTTTTTATGTCCATGTTAAGCTCTGCCAACTGGAGCATCTGCTATTTTCGTTTATCCTCGGTGATCATTACTTCTATCTCATCCATGCTGTGCAGATCTAAGCTTGTGAGGTAGCCCGTCTCAGGGAAGGAGAGAGGAGGAGAGGGGCCGAGATTGGGAGAAGAAAAAGATATAAAGAAACAAATACAGACACAAATAGGCTGCAGCTCTTCTGGAGTCTTGACTCCAAAGGACGGGGACTCACACAGCAGGGTCAAAATATCCTTGGACTTTATCAGGAGGAGAAGCAGGTTTTCCAGGGAAGTACAGCTCCAGCCTTAGAGCTTGGGGAAACCGAGCTGTCCCCCCAAAAATGATACTGTAGACATCGATTCTAGGGGGCTGCTTGGTTATTGCAGGCTGAACTTGTGAAGGAAGTGGGCAGGACTTCCGGAGAGTTCCCACGGTACAGCGTCTGTTTTTTGCTACTCTGCTACAGGGGATCTCAAAGCATGGCCCGCAGAACCGGCGGGGGTTGGGGGGTAGGAGGGAGGTGCTTACGGTAAAGACTGTTTCCAGGGTAACAGCAGTGGTAATAATAACAGTAATAGTAATCCTGTGTTGGCATCTCAAGCTGCTGGCATGTTAGCACGGGATCAAGACTGTGGCACTAAACTGTACCAGTAACCACTGTATTTTTTACCACAACACGCAGTAAAAAATTGCCACTTCAAATAAGAATGGTGACTAGTAAAAAAAAAAACAACCATATATATATGTATATATAAAAAAACATATTTTAATTTTATTCTATATATTTTAATTTTATTAAATCTCAAACCCGGAGTGCTGCATGTCTTTCTAATACTTTTTGTGACCACATGCAAAGTGCACACAAAGCAATTCCGGTGCACCCTCAACTACGGCGGCAGCTCCGAGGAAAAGCGCTGGGACACAACTGTCTCAGCATCGGGCTGAACTACTCGCTTTCCCACAGAACACTAGTTCTTCTTGGAACACAGACCACCGTGGTACGGCTGTTCAGACTTGGGCATGTGGCAGACACCATCTCAAAAATGAGTGAGGCAGATCTGTCACATCAAGGAAAACTGGCGGCTGGTGATAACATGGGTTCTATAAAGTAAGACTCAAATTCTGGAAAACTCACACCCACCCTGCGAACTTGGCGGCTCCCTAATACAAAGTTTTTCTGATGAGAATGGTGGTGACGTTAGCAAATGTGAATTTTTTGGTACTGTATAGTGAAATGGGCCAACCTTTGAAAGATCTGCATCGCTGAAAATTTTCCAAATGATCAATGCATGATGTTATGAATCACGCATGGGCAAAACCCACTGAATGTGCAAGACACATGAATTGATTTTATATATAAAGAGTATGAAAAGTTCATTATGATAGTCAGATTGCTACGTGAAAACTAACTTTAATAAAAAAATCATTACCTTATAATTTTAGCGTAGTACAAAGAATAATATATTAACTATCATGAAAAAGTCAGTTAAGATATCTTCCAACTTCCAAATACATATCTCTGTGGGCCAGATTTCTTCATACACTTCAACAAAACAGCATATTTTAACCAGATTGTATGCAGAAATAGACAACGAGCTAGTTAAGAAAGGATTGCAAAATTGTAAACAATGCCACTATTCTTACTAAAATTTTAAAAGTATACTTCAAAAATATAATGCATATTATATGTAAAAACACAGTAAAAAAATATAAAATATATTAGCCAGGCATGGTAACATGCACCTGTAGTCCAGCTACTCGGGAGACTGAGGTGTGGTAGACTGGCTAGAGCCAGAATTGAGGTTCAGCAGTGAGTGACTGATCGTGCACTCTAGCCTGGGGACATACAAGACCCTAATTTTAAAATAAAATAAATAATATATATGATATATATAGACGAGAGAGTACAATATATAATAAAATTAATGATTTTAAAAAATTATGTAAATACTTTTAAAAATCCCAAATAATTTGCCATCAAATTATTTATCAATTAAATCAATCAATAAATACGACAGATATAATCCCAAATATACGAAAGCTCTTTGGGATCTTCGGGTCAAAAAAGTTTGAGAACAGCTGCTCTCCCATGATGAATAATTCTTACAGGAACATATCTCAGAATGCTTTTTTTCCCTGAACACTAATCTCATGAAAAAAAATTCATAATAAAAGGGCTTCTGTTCTAGAATACACTTGGAAAAATCTGGAGAATCCTAACACCTGCCACCCTTGGACGGCTGCAATCCGTACCAGCCTGTCAGAGCCAGAGAAGTTTGCGTTACTGCCGTGTGTTTTCAGCTTGTTCAACCCAGGGCCTCCTTCACGTTATCTCAGGAAGTCGTGAACCCAGAACACGCTGGTCACCTGACCCTGGAAAGTCCTGGCGCAGTGGAAATCCGCCGTGACTCATGACTCACCTTCAAGCCGGACCACCAGGGGCACCTTGAGCTCTAGCTCCCGGCAGGCTTTGGTGATTCCATTGGCGATGATGGCGCAGTTGACGATGCCACCAAAAATATTGACGAGGATCGCTTCAACCTGAAATCAAAAAATAGACAGTTACCTATTAAAATGCTGACAGCCAACAGCCTCAAAATACTGGCTGCCGCTGCAAGCCTGGAATCCTAGTGCTTTGGAGTGAGTTGGAGGATCCTGAGCCAGGGAGTCTTAGATCGCCTGGGCAACGGGTGAGACCCTGTTTTCTGCAAAACATAAAAAAAAAAAAAAAAAAATAGCTGGTGTGGTGGCGCATGCTGTAGTCCCAGCTGTTTGGAGGCTGGGGCGAGGAGGATCACTGAGCCCGGAATTTGAGGTTGCAGTGAGCCTATGATGATGCCACTGCACTCTAGCCTGGGGCAACAGAGTGAGATCCTGTCTCAAAAAAAGAAAAGAGAAAAAAAAAAAAAAAACTGGTTAAATGAGAGACAATTAAATAAAACTCCTTGGGGTTTTTTGTTTCTTTTCACACAGAGCATAAAACACAAAAAAAGGCCCGAACATGGTAAGAAAGTTAATATTTAATAATGAATATAGAGACTTTTAGTGTAGCACCAAAGAATAATATTCAGAACTATATGAAAAGTCAATTAAAGGTAAAAACTATTTTCATAGTAACAGCAGAGTAATAATGACAGTAATAATAATGTGTTGACATCTGCACTATATATATCACTATATAACATTACCATATTAACCATATTATCTCATCAATCACACTTCTGAACTCAAAACGAATCTGATTACCATTCCTTTGTGTATTTATTATATACTGTCTTTTTTTAAATATTGTTGTTCTTTTGATGAGTAGCGTCACTTAAAATTTCACATACTTATGTTTTTTTCTCCATGAGTTACAATTAAATGTATATGTGTCATGGTGCCTCATGCAGTATTTCAAGGCCGGGAACTTACTATTTGTTGTCTAATATGAACAGGTAAAGATTCAAACTTTTCTGTGCTTCCTTAATACCTCTTTGATATGCTAGGAGTATGGTCTCAAAATTCAGAGTTAGTTTAATAATCTTAGGTAACAATCTTTTTTATTAAAAAAAAAAAAGTCCCCTAAAATAAAGAGATGCAAGTGCATAACACAAAAGTCAAACCATGGACTGGAATTTTTCAGAAATGCAAATTTAAAGCCATCATGTTAACTTGTTTGTACATATTCCATATTCAAAGGCATGTGGGCCAAGAAAGTTGTACTTGTCCTGACTTGATAAATAGGCACAAGAAAATCCTGTATAATTAACATGAAGAACGAGATAATGAAGAGAATTCATTACCTAGATTAATTGATAACACCCACAGAAAATGGCTTATTCATCAAGCTGGAGGCATCAAAGTTCCAACAATAGAATCACAATTAAATTACGCTACACTAATTGCAAAGCATATATGTACGTGCCGTGTGCCATTTTTGAATCCTGTTATTTCAGCATGCTAAATTAACTGTACAAAACATATGAGAAAAGAATAGCTTACATTTCTATAGCATTTAACTGTTTAGAAAGTGCCATTTACACGAGTCTTCGTTTTTTTTTTTTATTTTGATCCTTCCCAGAACCCTATTCGTTAGGTAAGGTGAGGGTTGGCTGTAGCTGATAAAGCCACTGGGGGCATTTAGCCAAGGTGACATAGATGACACGTAGCAGGGCTCAGGCCCCAGGTCAGCTCGCTGCGCTGCCTGCTGACTTCTCCATTCATGCAGTTGCCAGCGCTGGGACTCTGGCCAGGGCACCTGGCCTCTCTTGAGCATGCTTTCTTCATCTGCAGAAGGGGAATAATAGTAGTCCTTAGTCCATAAGGTTGGTGAAAGGCCTGACTGAGATAATACACATGAAATATTTTGTGCATGGCTTTAAATGTACTTGATGAATATTTACACATGCATTTATTTAGCAAGCAATGATGAAAGCGGGCAGGTTACCTAGGTAGCAAGTAAGAGAACCTTCTTCAGTCCACAGCCTGCAGCTATGTGAATTCAAAATATAACATGCAACACCAACTTTACTGAAATTTGATAAAGAAGTAGTGTCCTTAAGAACAAATAAATGACACGTATTTCTCCAAACCAATTAAGAGACTGGGGCTACCCCAGAAAAGAAATCTCCCATTACTATTCACAGCGGTTGCCAGCGGGGCTCCACTGGAAGGCCTCGTTCTCCACACAAACCTTCCTGAGGAGCCCCAGCAGTTCCTGAGTTCCTATGCAGGATCCCGCGGAGTCATTATTGCCCTTGAATGTTGTCTTTCCATTGTTCTGGCAAGTTCTCTCCACCCACACGGTTATTTGGAGACTGCTGCAGTACCAAGGCTCAGTGCTGACAGCACTTAATAGCTGTCATTAGGAAGCAACCTCCTGCTTACCAGTCAGCCCGCTGTGAATAGTAATGGGAGATTTCTTTTCTGGAGTAGCCCAGTCTTAATTGGTTTGAGAAATACTGCTCATTTATTTGTTCTTAAGAAACTACCTTCTTTATCAAATTTCAGTAAGTTGGTGTTGCCATTATATTTGAATTCAACATAGCTGCAGCGTGTGGACTGAAGAAGGTTCTCTTACTTGCTACCTAGTAACCTGCCGCTTTCATCATTGCTTGCTGAATAAATGCATGTGTAAAATATTCATCAAGTACATTTAAGCCATGCACAAAATATTTCACGTGTATTATCTCAGTCAGGCCTTTCACCAACCTTATGGACTAGGGACTACTATATTCCCCTTCTGAATGAAGGAAAGCATGCTCAAGAGAGGCCAGGTGCCCTGGCCAGAGTCCCAGCGCTGGCAACTGCATGAATGGGAAAGTCAGCAGGCAGACCAGCGAGCTGACCTGGGCCTGAGCCCTGCTACGTGTCATCTATGTCACCTTGGCTAAATGCCCCATGGCTTTATCAGCTCAGCCAACCCTCACCTTACCTAACGAATAGGGTTCTGGGAAGGATCAAAATAAAAAAAAACAAAGACCGTGTAAATGGCACTTTCTAAACAGTTAACTGCTATAGAATGTAAGCTATCTTTTCTCTCATATGTTGTACAGTTAATTTAGCATGCTGAAATAACGGGATTCAAATAGCCACACGGCACGTACATATAGCTTTGCAATTAGTGTAGCGTAATTTAATTGTGATTCTATTTGTGGAATTTTGATGCTCCAGCTTGATGAATAAGCCATTTTCTGTGGGTGTTATCAATTAATCTAGGTAATGAATTCTCTTCATTATCTTCGTTCTTCATGTTAATTATACAGGATTTTCTTGTGCCTATTTATCAAGTCAGGACAAGTACAACTTTCTTGGCCCACATGCCTTTGAATATGGAATATGTACAAACAAGTTAACATGATGGCTTTAAATTGCATTTCTGAAAAATCCGGTCCATGGTTTGACTTTGTGTGTTATGCACTTGCATCTCTTTATTTAGGGGACTTTTTTTTTTTTTAATAAAAAGATTGTTACCTAAGATTATTAAACTAACTCTGAATTTGAGACCATACTCCTAGCATATCAAAGAGTATTAAGGAAGCACAGAAAAGTTGAATCTTTACCTGTTATATTAGACAACAAATAGTAATTCCGGCCTGAAATACGCATGAGGCACAATGACACATATACATTTAATTGTAAATCATGGAGAAAAAACATAAGTATGGAATTTAAGTGACGCTACTCATCAAAAGAACAACAATATTTAAAAAAGACAGTATATAAAAATACACAAGAATGGTAATCAAATTCGTTTTGAGTTCAGAAGCGGTATTGATGAGATAATATGGTTAATATGGTAATGTATATATGGATAAATATGTGCAGATGTCAACAATATTATTACTGTCATTTTACTCTGCTGTTACTATGAAAATTAGTTTTTACCTTTAATTGACTTTATATAGTTCTGAATATTATTCTTGGTGCTAACTAAAACTCTATATTCATTATTAAATATTAACTTTCTTACCATGTTCTGGGCCTTTTTTTGTGTTTTATGCTCTGTGTGAAAAGAAACAAAAAACCCCAAGGAGTTTTATTTTAATTGTCTCTCATTTAACCAGTTTTTTTTTTTTTCTCTTTTCTTTTTTTTTGAGACAGGATCTCACTCTGTTGCCCAGGCTAGAGTGCAGTGGCATCATCATAGCTCACTGCAACCTCAAATTCCTGGGCTCAAGCGATCCTCCTGCCCCAGCCTCCCAAACAGCTGGGACTACAGGCGCTTGCCACCACACCCAGCTATTTTTTTTTTTTTTTATTTTGCAAAACAGGGTCTCACCGTCGCCCAGGCCGATCTAAGACTCCTGGGCTCAAGGGATCCTCCCAACTCAGCCTCCCAAAGCACTAGGATTCCAGGCTTGCAGCTGGCCAGCCAGGTTTTTTTGAGGCTGTTGGCTGTCAGCATTTTAATAGGTAACTGTCTATTTTTTGATTTCAGGTTGAAGCGATCCTCGTCAATATTTTTGGTGGCATCGTCAACTGCGCCATCATCGCCAATGGAATCACCAAGCCTGCCG